AAAGTTGGTCACTATAAGCAAATGGTCTTTATATATGAGTTAATTATTCACTGGGTTTTAATTTGCTTATTTCGCTGACTGGTAAATGCGCTAAATTAAAACCCAGTGAATATGTAAAATTGAGCATAGAACACATTATCTAAATGATAAAACCGTGAATTTAAAACGCACTGAATATGACTGAAATGGTAAATCAGCGAAATTTAAACCCAGTGAAAATTAGTCATTTTACAGTACTATAAAGACATAGGTTACAGCATGCCATAAATCCAAACTTTTAACGCATGGCATTCACCTTTTGTCCTCATCAGGAAATAGAAATACCAAATATTAAATGATCACCTGATATTTCAATGATCGAGAGGTGTACTAAATACCATCAACTTGCTCAGTTCTCAGCAATGTACATCAAGCTGTTGGATCAGGAAGATGTAGTCAAACCTGCGTATAGCGACCCCTCCATTGACTTCATTGAATCTTTATAGTGATTGGATTATTTAATAATCACTACATTTGACATATTTGTCCAGAAAATAAGGAGATGGTATTGATGTACCAGATACATTCATTGGAGTTATTGAAAATCAAGTCAAACAATTTGGATTCTAAAAATGCATTATCAACAAAATTGTAATTTTATTATTTTAAACTGTAAACATTGGTCACATAAAATAAGTCTTTATACAGAAATGGTCACTTTAGCAAGGTAAACTTTATATAAAGATGGTCTTTATTGGCAGGTGGTCTTTGTATAGAGGTGATCACTATATGCAGGTGGTCTTTGTATAGAGGTGATCAGTATAGCATATAGAGACTGTAAATTTAGCCAGGTCACTAACATAGTTTTGACTGTATATCAATAACCAAATTCATTACAAAGATATTGTAAAACACTGTACTGTGAAACATGTTGAAAAAGCAGCATGTAATTTTAGCAAATTGTGGTAAAATGACGTAATAGCGAAATGTTGATTTAACGAATCTCTCTTGTCATTGTTGATTTCTTTGTTTGGCAGCCATTTTGAATTGATATAGAATAAAGTCATTAGCGACATCTTGAATTAACGAATCAGTTCTCTCGCTAAATTCGCGAAAAAGACATGTTCGCGAAAAAGACATGTTTTACAGTATATCACTGTAAAATATTTTATTTTAGCTGGAATTAACTTTCACTGGAAAGGATTTTTTGGTTGTTTTGAATGGAATTTATTTTCACTGATTTGTGATCTGTTGAATGTACAATAGAGGAAAAGAAGGTATATTCACTGGATTTATTTTCACTGAATTATCTTAGTAAAAATAAATTCCAATCGAAAATAAACTATATTTAAAATAAAGAATTTTATAGCACTATATGTAGCAATGTATGCATTGCTTGTCAAATCCATGTATAAACATCATAAATAGAATGGAGTACACAACTTACCAGTCCGATGCCAACTGTACTCCCCTGTCTCCTGTTGCAGCCAATGCTTTCTCACTACAGAAAAAAAAAACAGATTAGATTAGTTAGATTAGTTATAATTGCACTATTTAATGTTCATCTTGGATATATTTGAAATAATGTTTTGGGAATAGTATGTGACATTTTTGGATAGTATGTGACATTTTTGGGGATAGTAAGTGAATTTTGGGAATACTATGTGACATTTTGAGAATAGTATGTGACATTTTGAGAATAGTATGTGACATTTTGGGAATAGTATGTGACATTTTGTGAATAGTATGTGACATTTTGGTAATAGTATGTGACATTTTGGGATAGTAAGTGACATTTTGGGGATAATAAGTGACATTTT